CCGGTGAGATTTGAACAGCCGAACTGCAGAACTGCAGTCAGCTGAAGTAGCCTGCAGTGCTGCATTTAACCACTGCGCCACCTCGGCATGCCATCTTCCTGATAAGAACTTAAACTGAATGAATGCACTTTGAGTTTCAGTACGGTTAGTCCTCAACTTACGACCAATTGCTAAGCGAGGGTTCAAAGTTATGATGGACCTGGAATCCAGATGTGAAGTTACGACATCCGGCTGAGGAGTAGGTTATGCGACCACATTTTGGGTGCTCGGCAGCCAATTTGCATTTACGCCCATTTGCAGTCCCACGAGTGCAATTTTTAAAAATGTTTTTGCCCGAAGTCCACATTGGCTTCCGTTTTCCAGACAAAGGCACCGCATAGCAAACGATGGGTTCCCTTAATGACCGTGGTGTTTTGGTTTGGGACTGCCACATTTGCAGAACGGCTGCCAGGAAAAAAAAAGGCCTGGAATTGGACAGGGCGACTTGGTGACCCGCTTTACGACCCTCACGATCGCTGATGTGGGCTCAGTTGTGGTCCTAAGTTGAGGACCGCCTATATTTTAATCCATGCCATTAAATGTCCAATGTGGAGAAAGAAGCCCAAAACCATCACTTAGTATAGAAAAGTTCTTGTAAAAAATGAGAGGCCAAACTGCATGCAAATAGCAGTACTTCTTGTTGTTAGTTGCGAAGTCGTGTCTGCCCCATCGCGACCCCATGGGCAACATTCCTCCAGGCCTTTCTGTCCTCAATAGCAACAGCACTTAGACTTATATACCGCTTCACAGTGCTTTACAGCCCTCTCTAAATGGGTTCGACAGTCAGCATATTGGCCCTAACAATTTGGGTCCTCATCTTACCCACCTCAGAAGGATGGAAGGCTGAGTCGACCTTGAGTTTGGTGAGATTTGAACTGCCAAATTGCAGCAGCCAGCAGTTAGCACAAGTAGCCTGCAGTTGTTGTCATTGTTGTTAGTTGCGAAGTCGTGTCTGACCCATCGCGACCCCATGGNTCTTAAAAGTTCCTGAGGTTGAGGAACACTACAGAATAAAGTAGAGTAGAATAGAATGGAGTGGAGAGTGGAGTAGAATAGAATAGAATAGGAATTTGTCTTTGGTGCATACGGTCTCAGTGTACGTAAAAAGACAAGATACATTCGTCAAGGTCGTAAGGTACAGCACTTAATGACAGTCATAGGGTACAAATAAGCAATCAGGAAACAATCTCAATATAAATCATAAGGATGCAAGCAACAAAGTTATTGTCATGCAGTCATAAGTGGGAGGAGATGGGAGGTGATAGGAATGATGAGAAGACTAATAGTAATGCTGCCTTAGTGAATAGTTTGACAGTGGTGAGGGAATTATTTATTTAGCAGAGTGAAGGTCCGGGAGGAAAAATGTCCTTGTGTCTAGTTGTCTTGTTGTGCAGTGCTCTATAGCGTCATTTTGAGGGTAGGAGTTGAAACTATGTCCAGGGTCTGTAGATATTTTCACAGCCCTCTATACAGCAAGTGTGCGCCTTTTAGTCCACATCCATTGCTCTCTTCCCACGTGGCCCCACATCTACTGATATTGCTTCTTTTGCCTTAAACCCCGATGGGTTTTTTTCCTGTACACAGACGGCCAAGTCGAACTTGGACAAAGCCTTGTCGGAACTCGCATCGGCCCCTGACGAGGTAGCAAAAGCAGAAGCGCAGATCAGCGTGGAAGCTAACGAAGCAATTGTAAAAGCTTTGGAGTGAGCAGGTAAGTAATTCCCGTTTCTGCTTCTACACCTGCTTAGATCTTTCGGTTCAGTCTCCAACTGGCATTTGAGGATTTAAAATCGAAGGGCACCGGGGTTTTTTTTTCCCCTGGTCAGGCAATACAGATAGTCCTCGACTTAAAACCACAATGGAGCTCATGATTTCCATTGCCAAGCAAGGCGGTTAAGTGAATTTTGCCATATTTAGCTATTTTTCTTGACACAGTCATTAAGTGAATCACTGAAATTATTAAGTTAGGAACATGGTTGTTAAGTGGCTCTGGTTTCCTCCTTGACTTTACTTGTCAGAAGGTCACAAAATGTGATCGCAGGACGCTGCAACCCTCATAAATACATGTCAGTTGCCAGGAGTCTTGAGTTTTGATCATACGACCGTGGGGATGCTGTGTTCGGTCATAAGTGTGAAAATAGTCATGTCTTTTTTTCCCCCAGTGCTGTTGTAACTTTGAACAGTCACCGATCAAAATGATTGTAAGGTGAGGACTACCTGTCAAGATAATGTTCTTGAGGGTGGAGCTGTGAGCTGGGCTCCAAAAGATTTTTAGGGTCATAGGCAGGTAGTGCTCAACTTATGACTGGTTACTTAACGGCTGTTTTAAGAAGAGATTGGATAACCATTTGTCTGAAGTAGCTTAGGGTTTCCTGCCCCCCCTAAGGAGTGGGTTGGACTAGAAGACCTCCAAGGTCCCTTCCAACTCTGTTATTCTGTTAAGTTGGATGGTTGTCCTTCTAAAGGTGAGCAGGACTGCAACTGTTTTCCTTTTAATAATGGGTTTTAAATTAAATTAGATACATCTATACACAACCAGGATTGTTCTTCATATAATTAAATAAGGTTTCTTGGCTTAAATAGCCATTTTCGGATGCAGTTCAGGACATTTAAAGCTTCGTACAAGACTCCAAGACTTACAAGTTACGATTAATCTGAACTAGGGGTTTAATGGGGTCACTTCTAGTTTTCAGCATCAGCAAATCCACGGTCATTAAAAAAACCAATAGTACTGTGTGAGCACGCTTTTGCCAGAAACTGGAAGGCAATGCCGGGTTTCAGGAAAACCATCATAAAATGTAGTCACATGACGGTGGGATGCTGAAAATGGCGGTAAGCGCAGCTCAGTTGCCCAAAGTGAAGAGACATGACTATGGTGATAGGGAAACCTACAGAACTTTGGATTGGGGTTGTAAGTCATCCCAAGTAGGCCCAACGAAACTTTCAACAGTCACTAGGCAATTGGTTGCAAATCCAGGAATACCTATACCAGTGATGGCTAACTTTTTCTGGACCATGTGCTCAAAGCACACTTGCGCATGCGCAAATGCGTGTGCCCCAACCCCCAAAATGCAATGTGCGTGCAGCCCCCGTGCATGTGTGCCCGCCCCGCACACACCCCGTCCCCATGCATGCACGGCAGAAACTCTTAAGACCAGCTGGCTGACGGGAGGTGCGCACGCATGCTCAGCCGAGCTGAACAGGGGCAACAGCCCGTGTGCCATCAGAGAGGGCCCTGTGTGCTGCCGGTTGGTTCGCCATCACGGACCTCTACATTCTTACCATCACGGTTAGTGCAAAACGAAACAGAAGGGAAGAGAAAGAGGGAGAAAAAAGGAAAAAGACAGAGGAAGGGAGGAAGGAAAAGGAGAAAAAGGTGGTAAGGAAAGAGAAAGAGGGAAGAGAAAGGAGAAAGAAAGAAGGGAGGAATGGAGGAAGGAAAGAAGATAAAAACGAGAAGGAAGGAGAAGTAGGAAGGGAGGAAAGAAGCAGTCATACATAAGGATCCCATGCCATCTAGGTAGACCATCAAGCATGAAGAAAGTCCATGCTCAGGTGAGATTTGGCCGCTGCCTCAGAGGAGTCCTGTGGTTTGATTGTCACCTGCCAAGGGTGGTCACTCAGCACTTAAGTCTTTTTTGTCCCTCTCCTCTTCCAATTCCCTCTCTGCTCTATGATCCATCAGCGAGCCTTTTCTTCGGATCAACACTGGGATAAAACAGCTTCCGTCAATGAGCACCCCTGGTGGACATCCAGAGTCCCAGATTGAAGATTTCTCACTGTCCGGTTGAAAAAGGAATTGCCGGCTGGGTTCACACGGCTTGTTAAAATGTGGATGAATTTGTGGATTCAGGATATTGGGGGGGCTTTCTGCAGGCAGCAGGGCCTGGTAAGGTCAGAACCTGGCTTGATACCTGGATAGGAGACAGTCAGCTAGTCTTGGAAATTTAAAATGATGGCAACACTGTATTGCTGTAACGGAGCCAATAAAATTGCACAGGCTTGTTAATGAAATCACCAGGGTTTGGGCTCCACCCAAGGAAGACTTTAACTTTGAGTGCCTAGGTCCTCATGCTAAGCCATCATCTGATTCATGTGTTTGGGCAAAGCCTATCGTGTGAATCAGGTGATATTCAGCTGATTCCGACCGGCTTGCCTGAACCAGGTAGTGGAAAATCCACCCACCTGCCCCGGCTCTGTGCCATCCTATTTAGGCACATTTTCAAGATGTGTGCAAGCCACATGCATGATCAAAGTGCATGCGCGCAAGGCTGAGCGCATGAGTGGTCATGTTTTGTTCTGACCAAGGCTTCCCAAGAGCATGAAGCAAACTCCTTGTCCTGACAAAAAACCCTTTTATTACTGTGAATTCAGCTCATTCACATCCAGCAAAGTCTTTCAGGGGAGGATTTACAGACCTTATCTGGCTTGGAGAGCTGCCAGGCCGATATCTGCAAAACTTGGCAAGGAGTTGGAGAGTCCCAAACCAATTAAGCGAATTAATTGTCTCCTGCAAACTCCACTCCCCTTTCGCTCCTCTTTGATTTCCTCTGGGAGGGGCCATTCATCCTCCTCTCCTTACCTCTTTCTTTTCACTCTCTCTCCCTT